CGATCCGTTGACCACTGCCACAACCAGGAAGATGTGTGTGGTTCAAACGCCTGTTCTCGGTTAATTTGGAATCAGGGTTTTTGGTCAACCCCCCTCAATGAACTGCCAGAGGCTGAAAAATTAACGTTTGCAATGCAAATGTTTCGAAATGCAAACAAACAGAAAGCTAAATCATCCTGGGTCTGATTGGTAAACGGTCGATATACAATGTGACTCAGTGATATATGAATACTGACATGAGTTTGTCTCCCCAACTGAGATGCATAGAACCCGAGTAATTGAGATGGGGTCAATACTGAAATGTTGTGATTCATTTATCCTGTTGAATCTCTCGTTCTGAGATGTGATCTAGTTAATTGTTTACCCCTTACAAGGCTTGTCTATAGCAGGCTTTCTTAAAACCTGTGTATACAAGCGTGTTGAGAAGACCCCACCCCTTGTTTTCTTCCGGTGAGAGCGTTTGCTCTGAACGAGGGTGTCAACCATTATCCGCGTGGATGAACCACAGAAAGGTCTGGGCCAATTAAAAATCCCTGACCTTCAATTACTCAATAAATGGCCCTACAAACTGCTGTCCTCAAACGTATGCAGTATGACTAGATCGGGAAATAGGTTTTAAGCACAATGGATATAGCAGCTCTGTCCGTCCGTCCGTCCGTCCGTCGGTCAAGGATACCCGGAACCACCTCAGTTGCAAGCGTGGAAAGCTGTTCAATCAAACGCTACTTAAGACGACCCGCTGCTTTAGATTTGGAGGATAAATAACACAATTAGTTCACTTCAGTTTGTACAACCATTAACCACAAATATTCGTGCGCCGGTTTTGGTTGCTGTCTTTCGGTTGACCATTTGGATGAAGAATAGGAGAAGAAAGGAAACTTGAAATTGGAGTCGAAAAGAAAATGGAGGAGTTCAGTAATCTAAGGTTGCAAAGAAATTGAGAAGATGCACGAACGCCACTTGTTGCGACACCCAGCCGTATCACTCAGTGTCTCTAACCATCGGTTACGATCATCCCGAGGTCCCCAGCCAGGGAGCCTAACAGGACCTATGTGACTCAGTCTCCTGGTTAGGGTTTTCATACCTTCGTGCCAGGTCTTAGCTTGACCACCCTTGGCTTTTTTCCACTCGGTGTCTGCTTCGGCGAACATCGCTCGCCGTGGTAACCTACCTGGTGACATGCGTAACACATGTCCCAACCAACGTAATCTATGGAGGTCGACCACTTGCTCCGGTGGGCGACCGCGGATTCGCAAAACTCTGCGCCTAACCTCAGCATTGCTCATCCGGCTACCCCACCAGATTCGTGCAATGCTGCGTAGACAGCGGTGTTCAAACACCGACAGCCTATCTTTGTCCTACTTTCTTAATGACCAAGTTTCTGCACCGTATAGCATGACTGGTCGAACTGTCGCGGCATACACTCGACCCTTCACAGACAGCCGGATGTCGCGACGGCGCCACAGATGTCTCAAGTTTGCAAGTGCCAACCGAGCCTTCTGTATTCGAGCTGACACTTCATCCGTGATGCGTCCACCGGGTCAGATGTATCTGCCCAAATAGCAAAACTTATCCATCTGCTCTATTACTTCTCTAGTAAGAGTGAGGCTGAGTGCTGGACCAACTCAGTCTTGAAGCAACATTTTACACTTGGAAGGTGCAAAACGCATACCGAATATGGCTACTTTGACATTTAAGTTATCCAGAAATGCGTGCAACTTACCTGCATCTCCACTTAGTAACACATTAAATAACACAATAGCCCACAACACTGGGCATACAGTTTAAATTCGTGGAATATTCTAATGAATGCATGTATTCAAATTCGGTTTCTGATTCCATGCTATTGTGAGATTTTGTTTTCCGTGAATAATACCCAGTAGAAGGGTTTTAAGATTCGTTTAGTATTGTTTAACAGTATCGATAATAGGCTCTGCATGTGAACCCCCTTTTTATGCTAATTGACGCGTGTTTTTCTGCCATTACCCAGTAAATTCTTCATGCATTGAATTTTTGTTATAAACTCAATTCAGGAATAAAGCATGTCTCCTCCTCTAGTACTTATCAAGTCTGGTAAAATATTGTTTGACTACTTTGGAATTCGCGTTCAGTCTGTTACCATATTTTCTTATGGCACTGTTTATGTGTTCTTTTTTGAATCCCGTGCAATTTCAGCTCACAGTCATCAAGGGTAAACATAAAACAGAGCCGTCGAATAGGCTTTAATGGGCTAGTCAATTTTTTGTATGCAGACAAGATGAAGAAACTAACCAAGGGGTAATAGTTTTTCACGAAGGGTTATTTTGAATACGTGAACTGTCAAAGCCCAAATGATTTGTTGTTCACCATAGTACTTTTCAAACAAGTTTACTAGGTTTGGGTCTAATATAAGATGCACACATTCCCCATTTGACCGGTTACCGCATTGAGTAAGATAAGGGTAGATATTCCTTTCGGATATTCTATGTTCATCGTTATTTTGAATCATTGTATCACTATTGTATCCTCAACTTTAAAGTTGTCTCGAATGGCTGTTGAACCAAGATTACTTCTTGACTAATGGCTGGTATCTCTCCTACTGTGTTCCATGTTTATCTATGATTGATTACAAACAGATTAATATTGAATGCGATGGAAATGTTTGTGATAACCAACAAAGAGCACTGGACAGCTGTTTCGTCCTGTTTAGGACTCGTCTGCAATGCGTACTTTTTGTGTCCCTGTCAGGACTCGAACCGCGACCAGTCGGGTCGGGACTTCAAACCCTTACCCCTGAGCTACACGGCCGACGGTCATCATCTTGTGCGAATGGCTCAATCAATTTAGAGTGTGCTTGGATTAGCCCACTCGATTGTTCAGAGGCACCAAGCACTCTTGATGTTCCACACCGAAGACTATCAAAAGTGCCTGG